ACTACCCACAGCTTCATACAGAGTAAAGTATCAACAGATTCATAGAGTGTAAACAAATGGGAATTTACGGTATCACAAGGACTTGGTGACTGTCTACAGCTTCATAGAGTGTATACTATGGGAATATACAGTATCACAAGGACTGGATGACTACCAACAGCTTCATACAGAGTAAAGTATCTACAGCTTCATACAGTGTAAACAAATGGGAATATACAGTATCCCAAGGACTTGGTGACTGTCTACAGCTTTATTCAGTGTATACTATGGGAATATACAGTATCCCAAGGACTGGATGACTACCCACAGCTTCACACAGAGTAAGGTATATGCAGGTTTATACAGTGTATACTATGGGAATATACAGTATCCCAAGGACTGGATGACTAACCACAGCTTCAGACAATGTAAACAAATGGGAATATACAGTATCACAAGGACTTGGTGACTGTCTACAGCTTTATACAGTGTATACTATGGAAATATACAGTATCCCAAGGACTGGATGACTACCCACAGATTCCTACAGTGTAAACAAATGGGAATATACAGTATCCCAAGGACTTGGTGACTGTCTGCAGCTTCATACAGTGTAAAACAGATGGGAATATACAGTCTCACAAGGTCTTGGTGACTGTCTACAGCTTCATACAGTGTAAACAGATGGGAATATACAGTATGCCAAGGACTGGATGACTACCCACAGCTTCATTCAGAGTAAAGTATCTACAGCTTCATACAGTGTAAACGAATGGGAATATACAGTATCCCAAGGACTTGGTGACTGTCTACAGCTTCATACAGTGTATACTATGGGAATATACAGTATCCCAAGGACAGGATGACTACCCACAGCTTCATACAGAGTAAAGTATCTGCAGCTTTATACAGTGTATACGTTGGGAATATACAGTATCCCAAGGACAGGATGACTACCCACAGCTTCATACAGTGTAAACAAATGGGAATATACAGTATCCCAAGGACTTGGTGACTGTCTGCAGCTTCATACAGTGTATACTTTTGGAATATACAGTATCCCAGGGACTGGATGACTCCCCACAGCTTCATACAGAGTAAAGTATCTACAGCTTCATACAGTGTAAACAAATGGGAATTTACAGTATCCCAAGGACTTGGTGACTGTCTACAGGTTTATACAGTGTATACTATGGGAATATACAGTATCGCAAGGACTGGATGACTCCCCACAGCTTCATACAGTGTAAAGTATCTACAGCTTCATACAGTGTAAACAAATGGGAATTTACAGTATCCCAAGGACTTGGTGACTGTCTACAGGTTTATACAGTGTATACTATGGGAATATACAGTATCGCAAGGACTGGATGACTACCCACACCTTCATACAGAGTAAGGTATCTACAGCTTCATACAGTGTATATTATGGGAATAAACAGTATCCCAAGGACTTGGCGACTGTCTACAGCTTCATACAGTGTATACTATAGGAATATACAGTATCCCAAGGACTTGGTGACTCTCTGCAGCTTTATACAGTGTATACAGATGGGAATATACAGTATGCCAAGGACTTGATGACTACCCACAGCTTCATACAGAGTAAAGTATCTACAGCTTCATAGAGTGTAAACAGATGGGAATATACAGTATCACAAGGACTTGGTGACTGTCTACAGCTTCATAGAGTGTAAACAGATGGGAATATACAGTATGCCAAGGACTGGATGACTACGCACACCTGCATACAGAGTAAAGTATCTACAGCTTCATACAGAGTATACTATGGGAATATACAGTATCCCAAGGACTTGGTGACTGTCTACAGCTTCATATAGAGTTTGTTATGGGAATATACAGCATCCCAAGGACTGCATGACTAACCACACCTGCATACAGAGTAAGGTATCTACAGCTTCATACAATGTATACTATGGGAATATACAGTATCCCAAGGACTTGGCAACTGTCTGCAGCTTCATACAGTGTAAACGAATGGGAATATACAGTACCTCAAGGACTTGGTGACTGTCTGCAGCTTTATAGAGTGTAAACAAATGGCAGATTACAGTATCACAAGGACTTGGTGACTGTCTTCAGCTTCATAGAGTGTAAACAGATGTGAATATACAGTATGCCAAGGACTAGATGACTACCCACAGCTTCATACAGAGTAAAGTATCAACAGCTTCATACAGTGTAAACAAATGGGAATATACAGTATCCCAGGGTCTGGATGACTCCCCACAGCTTCATACAATGTAAAGTATCTACAGCTTCATACAGTGTAAACAAATGGGAATTTACAGTATCCCAAGGACTTGGTGACTGTCTACAGTTTTATACAGTGTATACAATGGGAATATACAGTATCCCAAGGACTGGATGACTACCCACACCTTCATACAGAGTAAGGTATCTACAGCTTCATACAGTGTATATTATGGGAATAAATAGTATCCCAAGGACTTGGCGACTGTCTACAGCTTTATACAGTGTATACAGATGGGAATATACTGTATGCCAATGACTTGATGACTGCCCACAGCTTCATACAGAGTAAAGTATCTACAGCTTCGTAGAGTGTAAACAGATGGGAATATACAGTATGCCAAGGACTGGATGACTACGCACACCTGCATACAGAGTAAAGTATCTACAGCTTCATAAAGAGTATACTATGGGAATATACAGTATCCCAAGGACTTTGTGACTGTCTACAGCTTCATATAGAGTTTGCTATGGGAATATACAGCATCCCAAAGACTGCATGACTACCCACACCTGCATACAGAGTAAGGCATCTACAGCTTCATACAGTGTATACTATGGGAATATACAGTATCCCAAGGACTTGGCAACTGTCTGCAGCTTTATAGAGTGTAAACAAATGGGAATATGTAGTATCCCAAGGACTTTGTGACTGTCTGCAGCTTTATGCAGTGTATACTATGGGGATATACAGTATCCCAAGGACTGGATGACTACCCACAGCTTCATACAGAGTAAGGTATCTACAGCTTCATAGAGTGTATACTATGGGTATATATAGTATCCCAAGGACTTGGTGATTGTCTGCAGCCTTATACAGTGTATACTATGGGAATATACAGTATCCCAAGGACTGTGTGATTACCCACACCGTCATACAGAGTAAGGTATCTACAGCTTCATACATTGTATACTATGGGAATATACAGTATCCTAGGGACTTGGTGACTGTATGCAGCTTCATACAGTGTATGCTATTGGAATATACAGTATCCCAAGGACTTGGCGACTGTCTGCAGCTTCATAGAGTGTATACTATGGGAACATACAGTATCCCAAGGACTTGGTGACTGTCTACAGTTTCATACAGTGTATACTATGGGAATATACAGTATCCCGAGGACTTGGCGACTGTCTACAGCTTCACACAGTGTATATTTTGGGAATATACAGTATCTCAGGGACTTGGTGACTGTCTGCAGCTTCATACAGTGTAAACTATGGGATTTTACTGTATCCCAAGGACTTGGTGACTACCCACAGCTTCATACAGAGTAAGGTATCTACAGCTTCATACAGTATAAACAAATGGGAATATACAGTATCCCAAGGACTTGATGACTGTCTACAGCTTTATACAGTGTATACTATGGGAATATACAGTATCCCAAGGACAGGATGACTACCCACAGCTTCATACAGAGTAAAGTATCTGCAGCTTTATACAGTGTATACTATGGGAATATACAGTATCCCAAGGACTGGTTGACTACCCACACCTTCATACAGAGTAAGGTATCAACAGCTTCATAAGAGTAAACAAATAGGACTTTACAGTATTCCAAGGACTTGGTGACTATCAACAGCTTCATAAGAGTAAACAAATAGGACTTCACAGTATTCCAAGGACTTGGTGACTATCAACAGCTTCACACTGTAAGACTGCAACCATGCAGGGAATAGTCAAATTTTAAGGGATAAGATGTCAGCTGTCCCCTCTTGTTGTGTGTTTCCGTGCAGACTGCTTTGTTGAACCGCGTGAGGACAGTTACTTGTTCCCGCAGCAGGAGGACAGCTACACATGGAGACCAGAACATATTCATACTTTGAGATTTACTATCAAAGACCACAGTCTTTATATAATTGTAATATATATTGACTTGAGTCCTACTATTCTGCTGTGAGCATTATTCACCATGAGAGTAACCGTGCTTATATACACTCATACAACATAAGCCGCCCGATGAGTTGTTGCTGGATCGTGTCCCGCCAAGAAGAGTCTTCCTCCACAAACGCCACCTTATACAGCTGTGATTGTGCCACCTTCTTGGTCATACTTTCAAATCTATCTAAACAAACACCTAGATACAAAGTCATACGAGGAGTGGTCGACGTGATCACATGGGTCACGTTAATAATCAATGACGAGCGGCTTCAGGTTTGTGTGGGAGAAAGGACGGGAATGCAGCTCATTCCAAAGAAGTGAAGCAACTGAGCTGTGCCTTCTGATACGTGTAATAAAAATAGAAACAATAAATAACACTGTGGATGATGACGTGTGATGCGGAGGATATTGGTACAGGGACAAAGGGAGGATCAATCAGATGTGTGATAAAACACGCTCATCAGCGTCATAAGTGTGGCAGATTCGTGGTATAACATTTAGAATAATACCATTCTTCGTGACACGTTTGAAACAAATACTTTAAATGATTGACTTAATTGTGCCAATACATCTGAAGAAAATCTATAAACCAAAAACACAGAGCACTCCGGCGAAATACATTCTGATCATTGATACAAATACGACTTGTGTTTATGCACCATGACAAGTCGTAAGTTCAGGTACGTTAAGGTAACGTTTACGTCAGAGAAGCGATGAAAACTGACATGAATATGTACTATTCTTGTTTTGACGTTAATATTACATCCGATATATACACAAAGCTTCTACACATATACTCATCCTACCAGATTATTAGGTGTTTGTAATGAGAAAATGTACTTGTGACTAAGGTTATACGTACCAGAATATCCTCAGGGTTGATAGTCGACATGTCGAGGTCCTGCACATCCGGGTACCTTGGGTAATCCTCCGTGAGCTCTTCATAGCTGAATGGTGTCTCCTGGAAGAGAGACATCACATGAGACAAAGGACAACCTAGTTTACCTTGTAAAAAGGTGTTGAATAATGAGACACACAGTGAACCTCTGAAGCTAAACGTTGTCTCCTGGAAGAGAGGCGTCACATGAGACACGGGATTATAGTGCCCCTTGGAAAACACGGTTGTATAATGTGATATACAGTGACACTCTGTGTCACATGAGACACAGGACAACTTACTGCACTTTGGATAACACGATTGTTTTACGAGATATTCAGTGAAGCTCTGGAGCTAGTCTCCTGGAAGAGAGGCGTCACATGAGTCACAGGACAACTTACTGCACTTTGGATAACACGATTGTTTTACGAGATATTCGGTGAAGCTCTGGAGCTAGTCTCCTGGAAGAGAGGCGTCACATGAGTCACAGGGCAACTTACTGCACTTTGGATAACACGATTGTTTTACGAGATATTCGGTGAAGCTCTGGAGCTAGTCTCCTGGAAGAGAGGCGTCACATGAGTCACAGGGCAACTTACTGCACTTTGGATAACACGATTGTTTTACGAGATATTCAGTGAAGCTCTGGAGCTAGTCTCCTGGAAGAGAGGCGTCACATGAGTCACAGGGCAACTTACTGCACTTTGGATAACACGATTGTTTTACGAGATATTCAGTGAAGCTCTGGAGCTAGTCTCCTGGAAGAGAGGCGTCACATGAGTCACAGGGCAACTTACTGCACTTTGGATAACACGATTGTTTTACGAGATATTCAGTGAAGCTCTGGAGCTAGTCTCCTGGAAGAGAGGCGTCACATGAGTCACAGGGCAACTTACTGCACTTTGGATAACACGATTGTTTTACGAGATATTCAGTGAAGCTCTGGAGCTAGTCTCCTGGAAGAGAGGCGTCACATGAGTCACAGGACTACCTTGTTTACCTTGGATGAAAGGGGTGTATAATGAGACACACATTGAAGCTCTGTAGGTTGTGTTTTGGAAGAGAGGCTTCACGTGCAACACGTGACTACAGTGTACCTCGGATAAGACTGTTGTATGCAAAATACAGAGAGGCTCTAATACTAGTCTCCTGGTAGAGTGACGTCACATGAGACAGAGGATCGATCAATTAGTATACCTGAGTCGTCAGGGTGTACACAGACAATAAACAACGAGCTTCGAATCACGACTTATATGTTGCGACTGAATGAAAGGTATCAGCCCTGAGCCTTTGCCTTTATTCTACTCTCACTGTCTTTTAAAAAAGAAATTAAGGAAAACACGAAATATCAATACTGAAAAGAAACTTCATTGAAGTCTATTGTTGACGTAATGTGATCAACTTTTTAACATAATTAGCAATAGATGCTCCATAACTAGATCCTATTGTAATGCTTCTTCTGCAATGAAAACACGTTTAGCAAACGGAGATGCTTTGAGGATTAGTTCAATTCATCGAGCACTTGCATGCTAAATTTTGATCCTGAAATGCAATTTGCCTTTTCCACATATTTGTTCTTTTCTCCATATTCGCGCTTGCGAATACATTGTCAGCTTTTTAGCGCAATACTCAATACTGAAGACACTGCATGCACTAAAGCTAATGTCAAATAAAGTCAACGAGGAAATAATTTATCTATGTTCTATTTTCTGAACCAAGACAGATAGTGTTCACATCCTGATCAAATATTGCTGGTGAAATGTTTAAAATTCTGCAATTTACACGACAGTGTGGGTCTTTCTCCATTCAAATAATGAACGAACGCCTTGTCAAAATATCTATCTTTAAGAGTCAATGGTTTGTTTAGCCGAAAATACTAACATGTGTATGTCCTACCACCGATGGGTGAGGAAAGGCACACGGTTTCGCGAACACATTATTGATAGTGATTTATAAAAACATGCGAATGCACAATTAACTATGTTTTCAGCAGAGATGTCTTATGATTATCGAAAGGGTTTTGGGAACGCTTGTGTTTATGAATCGCACTCAACTAGTTCGCTGAAAGGATGTCCCACCAGTGGCACCGTCTCAAACACAGGCATAGGCACCGCCAAGTCAAATATACACGTGAACAAACACGTTCACATATGGAAAGTCAGAAGTCGATTGAGAATCGGAAATTTTGGTCACTGATGCGTCAAACTTGCAAATGTCCTCCTCATATCTACCATACAGCTTTTTGAAAGCTTCACTTGGACCTTGAATGTTGTAACTTTCATCAAATAACGTTGGGAAAAGGGTCGTATATAACGCTCTTTGAAATCGTCGTAGAAAGAGCAAGCTCGACTGTACATCACAAGTTATGAAATGTGGACACCAAGGGGTGAATTAGTTGGAATATTACTCGACATACGGATGACTTTTGGAAAGTTGAAGTCATCCCTCTTGTCATACAGTCTTATGGATATCGCACTCTGATTCTGTATGCATAGATCTAAATATGAAATAGATGAAGCGGTTTCGCTCGAAAACACTTTTCGAAACATAAAATGGGCATTCTACGGCAATAGTACATAGAATAATTAATCAGTTATAAGAGAAAATATTAAATGGTAATTAACCACTTATCCGCACGCTGGGGAATATTTCATACTTGTAAGAGTGAGTGAGTGAGTATGTTTTACGCCGCTTTTGGCAATATTCCAGCGATATCACGGCGGGGGACACCAGAAATGTGCTTCACACATTGTACCCATGTCGGGAATCGAACCCGGGTCTTCGGCGTGATGAGCGAACGCTCTAACCACTAGGCTACCCGACCGCCCCCATACTTGTAAGAGAAAATAAGACATTATTATCACTGAGCTACAAATTCTACATCGTCCACGTTAAGCTACACAAATGCCACACAGGCTGCGCTACTTTATGCATTGACAGTTTCACACATTTACGGTCGTTTAAGGTACTGGTTGTAGAGCATGACTCGTCTCTGTCTAACATCCTGAGATGGCCGTCAGCGCCTCCCGTTCGATACGTCGCCGCACGAGCGCCTACACTAACAGAGTCTTTCTGTTCATTCAAAGCGATTGGCCTGAAAACATCGACTGTAAAAGGACAAGCGCAAGCCACTAATGTGACGAATGAAGTCCTCAAAGAATCACTTAGCTCCAGGCTGCTGACACTGCAAAGCACATGGATTGTGCGGGGATTGTTTCAATGATGCAACGAGAGCACATCAACTCAATCCACCACGAAGTGCCGAAATAGTTAACTTCTTGAAAAATGAAAAACTGTCAAGAGTCAGACTGTGACATGTTGTGTACAGCATCTGAGAGTCAGACTGTGACATGCTGTATACGGCATCTGAGAGTCAGACTGTGACATGTTGTATACGGCATCTGAGAGTCAGACTGTGACATGTTGTATACGGCATCTGAGAGTCAGACTGTGACATGCTGTATACGGCATCTGAGAGTCAGACTGTGACATGTTGTATACGGCACCTGAGAGTCAGACTGTGACATGCTGTATACGGCATCTGAGAGTCAGACTGTGACATGCTGTATACGGCATCTGAGAGTCAGACTGTGACATGTTGTATACGGCATCTGAGGACACAGTGTCTGTACACACTCCTGTCAATTATAAATTACGCAACATCTAGCCCTGAAGTAGTCAACAAATCATTTAGGACAAATACATAGCTACAGTGAACAAAACGTATACATACATACACTACCAAACACACGTGTCCTGTCGACATGTTAGATCACGTGTTACCTTCAGGCCAGTCCGGATATGTCGAACTTCAATATCACGTTTCGGTAATCGAGTTTCACATAGACAATAACACTCGGAGTTCGTTTATTCGCCCTCTTTTCATCCGGACATCAATACATCAATACAATTTTGCACTGCACTACCAGATATTAAAATGACAACAAACATGTTAATAGCATTCATTTGTTCCTAACACCAACATACACATATCCCGTGACAACTCATTTCCGTCTAATTCTATCACATCACTGTGTGTGCGTTGTATATATCACCATTGCCTTGTCTTGCTTAATGCATGTGTAAATATTTATTATAAATTATAGGACCAAAGAATGATTACGTTAATAACTGCAACTGAGTCGAGGGCATCATCTGGTACAGAGGCATGTTAACATCAGCTGATTCCCGAAGAATAATATTAGTTTCAGGTTTCTAATAAAGGTAAACCTATTTCCACCGCTCCCATATGCATGTTGTTATGTTCAGCAGGTCTTCTTAAAGCAAACAACTGTTTCGTCCTTCCTGTAGCTGTCCTGTAATACTGCAAAAAAAGCATTACCACAAGGCGGAGGAAAATGAAAATGAATTTCTTTGAAGTCCGATAAAAACATAAAACTATTTTTTCAAATTTCAGATCCTAAAGGCATGACATACTTTTACAGTTCCAATATTAAAAGTTAGCAAAGCACACCGAATTAACACAGTAAGTAAATTCCGGTTTGCACATATAATTGGCGATCATTAGACAAATTAGTTATCTTCATGTTAGCCGGGGAAATCAAGCTCTGGGCTCATTCGAACAGGGCAGCAAAGGGTGTGTTGAGTGGCACTGCCGCTGTGATGTCAGTCACAGATCACAGGTATCCAACGCCGCTTGTAAGTGGCATTAGTGTGTAATGTGACTATGCGTCGTCGCCCTTTAATTTCAATATCTACTTACATCCACACTCATCAGCTGGTACTCATGTGTTCGTCCAAGATTTCAACAAATATCTGTACAACATGTTGTCGGCAGAATGAACACAAGGATCTAAGCTGAAAAAGTTGTCTGACACGTTGGTATATAGATCACGTACATTGATACTTTTGCAAAACAAGTATCAACTTTTTGTACCCATGGTATGAGAAATTACGTCCGTTGCAAACAGACAGTTTTAAAACATAGTTGCAGGATTTTGTGCACCAAGTTGTGGCTGTTCTTCAACGTGACAGTTTGAGAGCAACGTCGATCTGGATTGTTGTAATCAAACATCAGAGCGGCTGCAGGTGTTCTTTTTTAAGACACTTAAAGATTTCACAAC